GTTTAAAGTTTTTAACATATTTGACCCCTGTGACCTTGAAAATAGATGAAGGTCATTTATTTGAACAAACTTGGTAGCCCTTCATCCCAGTTTGCTTCTGGCCAAATATCATCACCCTAGGCCTTTCGGTTATTAAGAAGAAGTCGTTTAAAGTAAAATATTGACGCCGGATGACGGACGGACGGACGGACGACGGACGCCGCACCACGGCATAAGCTCACTTGGCACTTCGTGCCAGGTGAGCTAAAAATAACTAGTGTTCTCTGACCTCTTAATGTATAGTAACAAGGGTTCTCTGTCTCCAAGACACTGAATTTCAAAAGTAATTTATTTTTTGCTGAAAAGATTCAGATAACCATATATAACTAAACATGGAGAAATGTCCTCATGAATCAGGGTAGGTAGGTATTTCCTCTTGTGAAGAAAACTCCCTGTATGTAATTACTCCAGTGTGATCAGTGGCATACGTTTCTATATGTAGACTTACAGAAGCACGACACAAAATTAATCAAGGTGTATTCCACTGTCCTTCAACATGCAACATAAATAATGCATCAGCCTTTAAAAATGAGGCAAATTACCTTTCCATAAGCTGAAAGTTACAGTGATGTGTAAACCAATCAAAACATCATGCAGTGACCTACTTAATATTGTAATATGCTTATAGTTTACACTTCATCCAGATTATCTCCAAAATAGACTGTGTGACCACAGTTTTCGTCCCGTGTCTCAACATCTAATTGCTTTTATCTTGTGGAGCTCATTAGCAGATGTTGGTATCTGCTCCAGTAAGAGTAAGCCTGTGAGGGTTAATTATCTGTACAGGGTTGTCAGCTGTGAGAGTCATTATTTGTACAGGGTTGTCAGCTGTGAGGGTCAATTATCTGTACAGGGTTGTCAGCTGTGAGGGTCTATTATCTGTACAGGGTTGTCAGCTGTGAGGGTCAATTATCTGTACGGGTTGTCAAATGTGAGGGACTATTATCTGTACAGGGTTGTCAGCTGTGAGAGTCTATTGTCTGTACAGAGTTGTCAGCTGTGAGGGTCTATTATCTGTACAGGGTTGTCAGCTGTGAGAGTCTATTGTCTGTACAGAGTTGTCAGCTGTGAGGGGCTATTATCTGTACAGGGTTGTCAGCTGTGTGGGTTTATCATCTGTACAGGGTTGTCAGCTGTATGAGTCTATCATCTGTACAGGGTTGTCAGCTGTGAGGGTTTATTATCTGTACAGGGTTGTCAGCTGTGAGGGTCTATTATTTGTACAGGGTTGACAGCTGGGAGGGTCTATTATCTGTACAGGGTTGTCAGCTGTGAGGGTATATTATCTGTACAGGGTTGTCAGCTGTGAGGGTCTATTATCTGTACAGGGTTGTCAGCTGTGAGGGTTTATCATCTGTACAGGGTTGTCAGCTGTGAAGGTTTATCATCTGTACAGGGTTGTCAGCTGTATGAGTCTATCATCTGTACAGGGTTGTCAGCTGTGAGGGTTTATTATCTGTACAGGGTTGTCAGCTGTGAGGGTTTATTATCTGTACAGGATTGTCAGCTGTATGGGTCAATTATCTGTGCAGGGTTGTCAGCTGTGAGGGTTTATCATCTGTACAGGGTTGTCAGCTGTATGGGTCAATTATCTGTACAGGGTTGTCAGCTGTATGAGTCTATCATCTGTACAGGGTTGTCAGCTGTGAGGGTATATTATCTGTACAGGGTTGTCAGCTGGGAGGGTCTTTTATCTGTACAGGGTTGTCAGCTGTGAGGGTCTATTATCTGTACAGGGTTGTCAGCTGTGAGGGTCTATTACCTGAACAGGATTGTCAGCTGTGAGGGTTATTAACTGTACAGGGTTGTCAGCTGTGTTATACTTACATGTCACATGGTTATAAATACTGTTAGACAGCAGGCTAATTATTTATCACCTCTACACCAATATCCTTTATGGGATATTTTACCATGTATTGTGTGTTTAGCACCTCGCTCGATATATTTTAATGTTAACCATATGTTTTAAACCCCTAGGGTTTAAAACTATTACATATCTACAAGCAAAATGCATGGTAATTAATTTTTAGAATATGCTAATTAAAATATCCCTCTCTTACAAACTTCTTCAAGTAAATTGTTGCCTCTCTGAAAACCTTACAGTCCCACATCATTGATTGTTTGCCTTTAGAAGTATCTGTTTTCAGGTTCATGTAGTGGTGTCCATTTATGTTATATTCTTTTAAAAGGACTCAAAGTTTAGTGAGCAAGGTTCTGATGTAGCAAATTAAATTCTGATAACTTGTAAAACTCTCCAAATGGCTTAAACAATAAGTTTCGACTCCTAATCCGTACCAGAGATATTTACCTTATACTGTGAGGCTAGCACCCCTGATAATGATGTTCTATGTCATTTCAACAAATTTCACTCAACAGGCTACGCCTATATCAGTTATCTCCAAACGATGTTCTATGATGTACCACTGGTGTTATTCCACATTATACAATGCATTCAGAACACCTACTGCAGGTATTCTACCAAACACCATGTGTTTAACACACCTAATTAGGGCATTCTACCATAGCGGGGTTAGGTGGCGTTGCGGATAACACAGTCGCCCCAGCTGTGTACATTATGAACCATGTCAGCATAATATCCATTTATGAGTGCCATCTATTGGATTTTTACAGATTATCTCGCTGTATTTCAGTGTTTGTCGTGTACGACAAATCTTGAAAACATTGTGTTATAAACTGTTTATCATTTCTTCCATTCATAAAAAAAGTGAATTTAATATCATATATCTTCCATCTGACTTTTAGGCTTAAAGATCATTGAGATTCTTGGTCTGTAAAACGTAAACAAATAGAAGATTTGCATGGAAGATGACCATGAACCTTAAACATGTAGAATGTTATCGTCATTGGCTTCACCATATGCATTTGTACGCATAAAATGGTATTATAACCCTCATAATACCTTTTCATAATTTTATAATGATTTGTTTGACAAACTATTTTCTTACATGAAACACCAGTCCAATAATGGTGGTTATCAAACTTCTCCAAGCTTTCAAGGTAAATAACCTTCCTATGAAATTTGAAGTTAATCCGTAGAAAATTACTCGTGGTATAGAGCAGACACGGTTTCAGCAATCGAATAAAGGGGCATAACTCAGTAAATTACTGTCCGATAAGGAGGGTTATCAAACTAATTTGCACTGTCATGGTAATTAACTTTCCAATGAAGTTTGAAGTTAATCCATTGAAAACTAGAAATTTGTTTTTGTGAACAAAAACATATGTCTCCCCTTAATTATTAGCCAATATGCATATTTGGAAGAATAGAAAGATTATGCTGCAGACAAACGTCGGTATAAAAAATTAACAAAGGGCCATATCTCTTTATATAGTTAGGCACAAGACCTGATTTCAGTACTCGTCTCTGCCTTCCCAAGATACATACATATAGCAAGTTTGGTCAACGTAGGAGAAATAACATTTTACTTATGCTGCAAACAAACTTTGGTATAAAAAATTAACAAACGGTCATATCTGTTTATATAGTGGGGCACAAGACCCGATTTTAGAATGCGACACTCTAACTTCCCAAGACACATATCTATAGCAAGCTTGGTCAACGAAGGTAAAAAGACATGGAAGTTATGTCTTGGACAAACTTTGGTACAACAAAGGGCCATAACTCTGTATACAGAGGGGAAAAAGATCCGATTTCAGTGCAAGATATTTTGTCTTCTCAAGATACATGGTAAGTTTGGTCAATGTAAGTGAAATAACATGGAACTTATGCTCCAGACAAACTTCGGTATTAAAAATAAGCAAATGGCCATACCTTTGTATATAGTGGGGCACAAGACATTATCCAGTGCACTGCACACCTCCTGCGGGTGATGCAGGTATACTTCAAGTTTGATCAAGATATCTTTAACAGTTTAAAATTAACGGCCCAGACAAGAGTTTACTGAAAATGTTGCACTAATTTGACCTTTGACCTTGAGGTGAAAATCACAGTGACCTAATTCCAGTGCATTGCACACTTTCTGTGGGTGATGCAGGCATACCTCAAGTTTCATCAAGATATCTCCGACGGTTTAAAATGTATGGCCCGGACAAGTTGCAATTACCAGAAGCAGAACCAGTACTAATACAATATGTGTCCCTTCATTTGAAGGGGAGACATGAAAATAATTACTTGAAATATCAAGCAGACGCTGTTTCAGCAATTTATTAAAGGAGCATTACTCAGTAAATTACAGTCAATAGTGGCGCTTATGGGACTTGTCCAAGAGCTAATGGTAATTTACCTTCCCATGATCTTTGAATTTAATCAAGAAATTTACTCGAGATATTGAGCAGCCATAGTGTGCGACCCCCCATCCATCTGCCCGCTCACGTGATAACATAATACGTCACGTCTTTAGATGGGCATATGATTACAGTTCCAACAAAACTTCCTGAAAATTAAACGCTTATTTGACTTTTGATATTTATGTGAAGGCCACAGTGACCTAATTACAGAACACTGCACATGTTTTGTGGTCAATGTTGGTATACTGTAGTTGGGGATATTGCTTTTAACATCTTTTTTATTTAATCTGCTGTAAATGCATCTTATATTTACCTTAACAGCTTTCAAAATATAAATCAATGATATTTAAATTCAAACTTACTGTTTCCGTAGTGACATCATAGGGCAAATGTTGTTAGCTTTGGTGTTATTGGTGAGCTTTTGCAGGCCTTGAAACCAGGTCTGAAACACAGAATCGTTGTAAACTTATCTCATAACAGTATACACTCAAATACAGCATAGAAAGTACAACAATGAGATACAGCATGGAAAGTATAACAGTGAGATACAGCATAGAAAGTACAACAATGAGATAAAGCCTAGAAAGTATAACAGTGAGATACAGCATAGAAAGTATAACAATGAGATACATCATAGAAAGTATAACAATGAGATAAAGCCTAGAAAGTATAACAGTGAGATACAGCATAGAAAAAAGCCTAGAAAATATAACAATGAGATACAGCATAGAAAGTACAACAATGAGATAAAGCCTAGAAAGTACAACAATGAGATAAAGCCTAGAAAGTACAACAATGAAATACAGCATAGATAGTATAACAAGAGGCCCAAGAGGGCCTGTATCGCTCACCTGAATATTTAAGTAGTTATAGCAAAATATTCTCATTAAATATCATATTGCACTAAAAATATTTCCCTCACAAACCTTATTGCCTCCATCTGTTGAAACTATCAACAAAATATTATTATAAGATTCTCTGCTTTTTGATTCTTCTTCAGAAGTTGCTTGACATATTTTTTCCTGTGACCTTGTAAGTAGGTCAATGTCAATTTCCTTCTCAAATTGGTTAGCTCTATTCCAAAAAGCTACCAGCCAAATCTTATGAATCCATTTCTTTTAGTTCTTAAGAACAAATCCTTTAAAATGTTGTTGACCTCTGTGAAGTAGGTTGAGGTCATTTTCATTTGCAAACTTTGGTGAGCTCTATCCCAGGAAGCCACCAGTCAAATTATTATAATTTTATGCCTTTTAATTCTTCAGAAAAAGCAGTTTGAACCGTTTGACATATTTGAACGCTGTGACCTTGAAAGTAAGTCAAGGTCATTTTCATTCACAAACTTTGTTTGGCTCTTTCCCAGGAAATAACCAGCCAAATATTAAGGTTCTATACCTTCCAGTTCTTCAGAAGAAGTTGTTCAAAGTGTTAGACATATCTGACTCCTGTGACCTTTAAAGTAAGTCAAGGTCATTTTCATTCGCAAACTTTGTAGAGCTCTTTCCCAGGAAGCTTCAAGTCAAATATTTAGGTTCTATAACTTTCAGTTTTTCAGAAGAAGTCATTTTAAGCATTACACATATCTGACTCCTGTGACCTTGAAAGTAGGTCAAGGTCATTTTTGTTTTCAAACTTTGTCGGGCTCTATCACAGGAAGCCACCAGCCAAATATAAAGATTCTATACCTTTCAGTTCTTCAGAAGAAGTCATTTGAAGTGTTTGACACATTTGACCACTGTGACCTTGAAAGTTGGTCAAGGTCATTTTCATTCTCAAACTTTGTTGGGCTCCATCCCAGGAAGCCATCAGCCAAATATGAAGATTCTATACCTTTTAATTCTTCAGAAGAAGTCGTTTGAAGTTTTTGACACATTTGACCCCTGTGACCTTGAAAGAACGTCAAGGTAATTTTCATCCTCAAACTTAGTCGGGCTCTATCCCAGGAAGTCACCAGCCAAATATGAAGATTCTATACCTTTTAATTCTTCAGAAGAAGTCGTTTGAAGTTTTTGACATATTTGACCCCTGACACCTTGAAAGTAGGTCAAGGTCATTTTAGTTCTCAAACTTTGTTGGGCTCCTATAAACAAATCTTTCAGACAAATATCATGACTCTAGGCCTGTCTGTTCTTCAGAAGAAGTTGTTTAAAGGAAAAGTTGACAGAAGAGGACGGACGAGGGACGGACGACGGAGGGACGCCACACTATGACATAAGCTCACTTGCCCTTCGGGCAGGTGAGCTAACAATGGGATACAGCATAGAAAGTATAACAATGAGATACAGCTTTGCACAGTATAACAATGAGATACAGCTTTGCACAGTATAACAATGAGATACAGCTTTGTAAAGTAAGTCAAAGTGGAAAACTAATTAAGAGAAGGGAGGTACACTATGTACCTTATACAAAATTTGTATATACCTGTCTGAAATTTTCAATGTTTATACCTGTGTGAAATTTTCGATGTAAATACCTGTATGAAATTTTCCATTTAAATGCTTTTATAATTTTCTATGTATATACCTGTATGAAATTTTCCATGTAAATGCCTTTATAATTTTCTATGCATATACCTGTATGAAATTTTCCATGTAAATGCCTTTATATTTTCCTGTGAGAAGTTTTATAAATTGTCTACCTATATACCTGTATGTAAACTTTCTATGTTTATACCGTAATAGTTTTTATGCATACACCAGGAAGAAATTTTAATTTATATACTTCATTACAATTTTCTGTGTCTGTACCTGTCTAAAACTGGTATGTGCTGTACCACATTCACAGCTGAATAATCCTTTTGACACAGAATTATTTTTACTGGAAAATCATATGAAAATCTACAATGAACTTGTAAAGTCATCAATTAGTTATCTTACACATTTACCAAGAAATATGTCAGCAATTGTTTTAAAAAGGACATTTAAACCTGTGGAATTCTGGTTAAAAACTTGAAAATTCTGTTTTTTGTTTGTTTCTGAAACAAGATGCACCACCATATATACTGCTCACATTTTGCTAAAGATCACTTTTATTTTGGGGCAAAAGTGAAAATAAATATTCTATTTGGTTTATACTGAGATTATTTTTGAAAGATTGATTGTTATTTAATTCATCAGCATGCAAAAATTCCAAAAATCGTAATTACAGTCGGAAAATGAGCCACAGGAAAAGGGTTACCTTAAAATTGGTAATAACGATGTATTCACCAAAAAATTTAAATTGAACAAAACTCATCCTAAATAAACAGAAACTATTTTAGTATCGAGTGTGACGCCCATGAGCATTAATTACAGTTTCACGTCTGCGCATGGCCCGAATGAGATCGCTAACCGGTTTTGTGGGATAGCGTTCCACTCAGCTACCAAAGCTGTTCCCAGCTCCTGGAGCATTATTGGCTGACCATTTCTGGCAGAGAGAGCTGTCTGCAGCATGTCCCACACATGCTCGATGGGAATTAGATCCGGCGAGCGGGCTGGCCACTCCATTCGGTGAATAGTCTCTTGCTGTAGATACTGCTCAGTCACCCTTGCTCTATGTGGCCTAGCATTATCGTCCATAAGGATGAAGTCAGGGCCAATAGCGCCAGCGTAGGGCCTGACATAGGCATCGAGGATTTCATCGCAGTAAATCTGAGCCGTAACGGTACCATTATGGAAGACAAGGAGGTCAGTTTTCCCCATACCATCACTGAACCTCCGCCATATCGGTCATGTTCCACAACGTTACCTGCCTGAAACCTCTCTCCAGGGTTGTCTCCATACTCTAACGCGCCTGTCTGTGAAGTTGAGACAGAATCTAGACTCGTCAGTAAAAAGAACCGGTTCCCATTCCTGAATAGTCCAAGTGCTGTGAGCTTGGGCCCAATCTCATTGGTCCCTAACATGGCGGGCAGTAATTAAGGGAACTCGTATTGCTGGTCTACGTGACGTTAAACCAGTATCATGAAGATGATTCCTAACTGTCTGAGTTGCTACCCGGGTACCAGAAGCATTTAGGAGAGGTCATTTCGCAAAGCTGTGGCAGTCTGGAACCTGTGACGCCGTGCCTGTATGAGCAAAAATCTGTCTTGGCGGTGCATTGTAGCCCTAGAAGGACCTCCAGCATGACGTCTGGAAGGGTTTCCGTTAGTTTGGAAAAGATTCCACATTCTTGCCACCACACTTTGAGACACCCTAAGGTCTGCTGCAACCCGACGTTGAGACATGCTAGCTTGAAGCATTCCAATGCCCCTATTCATTTTACCGTTGTCTGGTTCGTCTTTGTGCCATATTAAAACAAAAACATGTGAAGAATATTCATCAAATTGATTTCCTTAACAATTTGAACAACGCCTTACTTACCCAAGCTTAGCTTTTGAGAGGGGTGTTCACATAGGAAAGCGTGCACACGCTTTTATGGTTGACTGAACACACCCACACAAGATGATTTGGAAGGCTAACATATTCACCCAAAACAGTACAGAAGGAAAATATAATATCCTTTCTAACATTTTTATTTTTATTTCAAAATATAGGTGATCCTTAGCAAAATGTGTGAGTATATATATAAAGTTGTTGTGAGGTCTAATGACAGCTGTGATCAAATAAATGATGAAAGATTACCATTGCGGTCTCTGGTTCAGCGGCAATCATAAATTTGTAGTTGATGTTGACCAAGTCACGGCCGCTACAGATGGTCACGGTGCGAGACTCCAAGTTGCCAGATCGTTTCTGTTCCAGCTCCACCAGCACTTTTGGATCCTAATATTAGACATAAAACTTAATCAACAAGGATAATGTACCTAATAAAACACATCACAGACACCCTAACATCTTGATAATAAGCCTGGAATGAAAACAGGTCGGTTTTCAGAATTATTATAGAATTCCAGGAAGGGGTCCTTTTTTCCAGTTGGCCTGAACAAGTTTAACAGACAAACATCACATCACATCATTTTTGCAACAATTCAATAAAATAATTTTAATTTCCTTCAAAAAACCTGTAAAACAGTATATTTTTCCATGCAAAAAAAGGAAGACTCGGGCCCTCCCTATATATGGAGTTATGCCTGCTTGTTTGAAAAGTTCTTAAAACAATTGTTCCTACGGTTTATGGTAGAGGCGGGGGGTATAAGTCTGGCGACAGTTTTAGTTTAGAGATATTATTTTGATTTAGTTCAGTTTCTTTTATTAAGTGATATGTACACATATTGATTTTGCATGTCTTTAATTATGAAGTATTTGTCAATTTGGTTCCATACCCTAAAATCTTGATAATGAGTTGCGGTTTATTATAACTTTCAGTAAGGAATTCAAGGCCTATTTACACGGCAGTCTTATTTTCCCAATAACTTAGACAATAAGCCAATGATGGCTGAAATTCATTCACATCCTTTCAATACATCATGTGTTACAAGTACCAAGGGAGGAATAGAGTGGACAACATTTTAAAGGGAGGTAACACCAATTTACATACTTCATTGACATCCCCTCAATATAACAGTTCTATATACCAAGAGTTGATCAAATTTGTGAAGCTTTTGGAAGAGTGGTGTGAACGATGTTTTTATAGTAAGGGGATTAACTCTGATAAAAAAAGCTGGACCGAAATATTAATTGTAGGTGTAAAACTTCATAATGTGTTGTCTGCATCTTAAGTCATGAAATTTCATGAAATTAGGCATAAAACTGAAGAAGAACAAAATTGACAGATGGACAAACAAACAGAGACGGAAAACCTGATTCCAGTATACCCCTCTAACTAACGTTGTGGAAGGTATAGTAAGACTTGGAACTAAATGAAGAATATTTCCTGGCAATAAACATGAAACTCAATCAGCCAATATCAGTATAGGTAAAAAAAAAAATCATATTTTAAAAGCCTGTCCCCTTTCTCCCTATGTATACCGTAAAAATCTATGGATTTTGCGCAGGTACTTTTTGAGGCTGAAAATCTGGAAAAAAGCTTCTACTCGAATATTTTGCGCACCCAAAAGAATTGGGGAAAAAACGATGTTCATGCTCCGAAAATCGATCTCTAAATATATACTTTTTTAAATATATTTCTTACGATTTTTTGTCATTGATGTAAGACCATATTATAAACCAAGAAGAAACTACGTAAAATGTGTATTTTGTTTTCTTTTGATTATCTGATTACACATAACACACACGTGTGCGTATATCGGCACGTTCATCAATTAATTTTAGCTACATTTTACATAAAACGTTTACTTGCTTACAAAAACATACCAATTAATTAGTGTTAATGTGTTGTAACAGCTGGTGCATATCTCCTGGTGAAAGACATAATTAGATACCTTTTTTAAAATTACCATAATTACGATAAGTGAGAAGGACTCATCATGGCCGCTTTTGTATTGTCACTTCAAACCAGGTCATGTCACAGTTCAGCGATATTTTTTGGCGACACAATTTTTACCTACTGTAAAATTATTAAAATAGATCATCTGTGGTCATGACTGCTGGTTTGGAGACATTAACAGGTAAGTTAACCGGAGGGCATAACTTCAACAACATCGTCTGGTCCCGGACAAAAGGCCAGGTAGGATCGCATGCTTCAGCGTAAATTAGTGAACTTCTCAACACTACAGTCAATACAAATTACAATGCAGTAATTAGCTAACACTATATCTATGATTACCCGTTAACAATAGCTCTACTAATTGAAATGATTTGCAGTCGCTATCGACGGACCGTGTATTTTTTTTTTTATTCACCAACACATGGCGTGAATTACGAAGCCCTACTGCATTGTCATAACTACAGACTGATTTGACCGATAAGGGATTATAAAAAAATATGTTTATGCTAGAAGCGTGGATAATCAATACATCCTCTTCAAATCTACTCCAAGGGGAAAAAAAACAAAGCAGACTATTTTTACGATACTTCATTTAACAAATATTGAAATAATTCACGAGGTTATTATCAATCACGTGTTTACGCAGTGTTAGACGCAAAATCAACATGAAAGTGAGCCGGGGGGAAAAAAACATGCTGTACGCACAGGCGATTTGAAAAAAAGATAACAGAACTTACATGGAACGGAGCTTAATTTGAACAACTACATTTTCGTAATAGTATGGGGAAAACGCACCGAGATGTTGAAACGAAAGTTGATTGGCGATTCTCTGGCATAGACAGGAATTTGTCTAAACTTTCTTTGCTAACAGTTACCTATTTAATAATACTTTTCACATAAACTCAGGTAACAACACAATATATATATCTATTGTATCTTTTATTGATGTTTGACATAAATAAATATGTTGATCGTTGTTTGGCTTAGAGTTTCGTGTACCAAGGGAGATTATCTCGTGTCTGGTCTGCGGTCTACCAGAACCGTCAATCTTTTCATGAAAAAAACTTGAAATTGCTTATACCTGTGTATTTTACGCACCCCCCACTTTGGGTATTAAATTTTGAAAAAAAAGTGCACAAATTACATGGGTTTTTACGGTAGGCTTGATATAAACAAATACTTTCTATACATGTCTCTTTATTGTTTTTATAGTTTTACAATAGTGCCAGGAGCTACAAAAGTAGTTATCTGACTGAATGTTCAGGTTCACATTGGCAGGCTGATATGGCTTGTACATGTATATTATTAATTTTCTCAATTTTCAAGCTTCGGATATAAACTGACATTGACTCATACAACTCATCATTTTTATTGAACACTAGGATTTTTACTTAGACGAGTACTGTTATACATTTTTCTTCTGTGAATTTTTTGATAAAATGATAAACCTTTTTACAATTAGTTCATATAGGATTGTTATGATTTTAGGATACCTTTTATTCAGTGTTAAAAATATTTCTGAAACCTTTCACAAATTATGTGACAGAAAAATCATAACAAAAAAATTATGTTAAGAAGTTTAAAATAACACGCAACAGATTTTCTCTTTATCATACTTATTTTCCTAACACTTGGCCTATCTCTGACCTGTGAAGTTATGTAGGTAAGTTGTATGACCTTGACATTTACAATTACCATGGAAACAGGAAGAGCCTAAGAGGATACACAGATTCTAAAACACCCAGGGGAAAGGTAAACAAAGACAGCTTTAATTTGCGAGCCTGCCAAGAAATGCCACACACGCCCCAGTTTTATTTTCTACCTTCTTAACAGAGTTAGACAAACAAGGGTCTCATTATAGGCGAGCACCATTGGTGGATTACAGCTGATCAAACCCTCCCAGTATCAACCCTTACCCATCATCTGTGTACATGGGGAGTCGTTTGAAAGGCTTTCTGGTACCTAGTTCTCTCAACAGTCTAAACTATTGATCGGATTGTTGGTAAATCTTGCAGGTTTGCCTTACTAGATTAGATCAGGAGGGGCATGCAAATGGACCATTTAACTGGCCAATGACACCCCTGGGACTCCGATTACCGGATTACACATTGATTAATACCAAAATTTGAAACCAACAACCTAGAACATCTGATTTGAGAAGATTGTTCGGACAGAAGAAGTAGATGTACTGGCACTGTCATTTTCAATTCAGAACTAAAGTTGGGTCTTTTTAATATGTTCCTCAGATAACTATTAAACTGACAATCAATATTCACCAGCTCTGGGCTTATATAGCCTTCAATAAATAGCTATACTTAAACACTTATGTATCCAGTATACACACTTACTAAACTATACAAAACTAAATCATGGTCTTTATCATCACACAATTTCGTCTATTTCTCTTTGATGACAACCCATTTATGAACATCCCTTTCTCTTTGTGGTAAAAAATAGTCAAACAAAATAACCTCCAAAAGTGAACTCTATTTACATCAATCTCCCAGCTGTATGACCTACATCTACATCAACCTCCCAGTATGACCTTTATGTAAGTACATCAACCTCCCAGTATGACCTTTATGTACATACATCAACCTCCCAGTATGACCTTTATGTAAGTACATCAACCTCCCAGTATGACCTTTATGTAAGTACATCAACCTCCCAGTAAGACCTTCATCTACATCAACCTCCCAGAATGACCTTTATGTACATACATCAACCTCCCAGTAAGACATTCATTTACATCAACCTCCCAGTAAGACATTCATCTACATCAACCTCCCAGTAAGACATTCATCTACATCAACCTCATGATGTGACCTTCATCTACATCAACCTCATGATGTGACCTCCATGTACATCAACCTACCAGTATGACCTCCATGTACATCAACCTCCCAGTATGACCTTCACCTACATCAACCTCCTGATGTGCCTTTCATCTACATCAACCTACCAAGTTGACCTTCATGTACCACAAACTCCCAGTATGACCCTTTATCTTTGATGAAGTTTCATCCAAAAATGTTTCAGACTTTAGATATGTCTGGTGAACTTTTGACACTTATGACCATAGCTTAATGACCATGATTTTAAGTTTTTAGAGATTCTCTTATATAAACAAGGTTGTTCATTATTTCACAACTCAAAATGTTAAGTGAGAAACGATAATAAAACAGTCTCTTATGTTACATGATAGACTTGACTTTTTATCATCCACCAAACTTTCAACATCAGAGTGGCAGCATATAGGCCGCAACACACATTAATAATATTTCCTCAAATTCTGTTTAGCACTACACAGTATTGTCTCGATGAACATTTGAAATATCTTACCTTGAAAAAGATTTTATATATATATATATATATACTGTTGGGGTACATGTTATTATATATATATATATGGAAATTATAGTCCTGCTACAAATAAAATATTTATCAAGCATAATTGTTTTTACAAAACTGGTTAATGACATCACATGTTTGAAGATAGTTTTAAAGTTTTAAATAGTGTGATTGTTCTATTAACGTGTCTAATAAGTCATTTTGGCTAGACACATTTTATATTCAAAGGTATATATGTATTGTGATTTTATGAAAACTATGTGTTTGACGTCAAAATAACATATTTGAACTTGAACTTGAACTATATACTGATCAATACATAAAAATCTCCAATCTTGGACAGGAGTCTACACCCAGTGATCACTACCTAATTATCTTGGACAGGAGTCTACACCCAGTGATCACTACCTAATTATCTTGGACAGGAGTCTACACCCAGTGATCACTACCTAATTATCTTGGACAGGAGTCTACACCCAGTGATCACTACCTAATTATCTTGGACAGGAGTCTACACCCAGTGATCACTACCTAATTATCTTGGACAGGAGTCTACACCCAGTGATCACTACCTAATTATCTTGGACAGGAGTCTACACCCAGTGATCACTACCTAATTATCTTGGACAGGAGTCTACACCCAGTGATCACTACCTAATTATCTTGGACAGGAGTCTACACCCAGTGATCACTACCTAATTATCTTGGACAGGAGTCTACACCCAGTGATCACTACCTAATTATCTTGGACAGGAGTCTACACCCAGTGATCACTACCTAATTATCTTGGACAGGAGTCTACACCCAGTGATCACTACCTAATTATCTTGGACAGGAGTCTACACCCAGTGATCACTACCTAATTATCTTGGACAGGAGTCTACACCCAGTGATCACTACCTAATTATCTTGGACAGGAGTCTACACCCAGTGATCACTACCTAATTATCTTGGACAGGAGTCTACACCCAGTGATCACTACCTAATTATCTTGGACAGGAGTCTACACCCAGTGATCACTACCTAATTATCTTGGACAGGAGTCTACACCCAGTGATCACTACCTAATTATCTTGGACAGGAGTCTACACCCAGTGATCACTACCTAATTATCTTGGACAGGAGTCTACACCCAGTGATCACTACCTAATTATCTTGGACAGGAGTCTACACCCAGTGATCACTACCTAATTATCTTGGACAGGAGTCTACACCCAGTGATCACTACCTAATTATCTTGGACAGGAGTCTACACCCAGTGATCACTACCTAATTATCTTGGACAGGAGTCTACACCCAGTGATCACTACCTAATTATCTTGGACAGGAGTCTACACCCAGTGATCACTACCTAATTATCTTGGACAGGAGTCTACACCCAGTGATCACTACCTAATTATCTTGGACAGGAGTCTACACCCAGTGATCACTACCTAATTATCTTGGACAGGAGTCTACACCCAGTGATCACTACCTAATTATCTTGGACAGGAGTCTACACCCAGTGATCACTACCTAATTATCTTGGACAGGAGTCTACACCCAGTGATCACTACCTAATTATCTTGGACAGGAGTCTACACCCAGTGATCACTACCTAATTATCTTGGACAGGAGTCTACACCCAGTGATCACTACCTAATTATCTTGGACAGGAGTCTACACCCAGTGATCACTACCTAATTATCTTGGACAGGAGTCTACACCCAGTGATCACTACCTAATTATCTTGGACAGGAGTCTACACCCAGTGATCACTACCTAATTATCTTGGACAGGAGTCTACACCCAGTGATCACTACCTAATTATCTTGGACAGGAGTCTACACCCAGTGATCACTACCTAATTATCTTGGACAGGAGTCTACACCCAGTGATCACTACCTAATTATCTTGGACAGGAGTCTACACCCAGTGAGCACTACCTAATTATCTTGGACAGGAGTCTACACCCAGTGAGCACTACCTAATTATCTTGGACAGGAGTCTACACCCAGTGAGCACTACCTAATAATCTTGGACAGGAGTCTACACCCAGTGATCACTACCTAATTATCTTGGACAGGAGCCTACACCCAGTGAGCACTACCTAATTATCTTGGACAGGAGCCTACACCCAGTGAGCACTACCTAATTATCTTGGACAGGAGCCTACACCCAGTGAGCACTACCTAATAATCTTGGACAGGAGCCTACACCCAGTGAGCACTACCTAATTATCTTGGACATGAGCCTACACCCAGTGAGCACTACCTATTAATCTTGGACAGGAGTCTACACCCAGTGAGCACTACCTAATAATCTTGGACAGGAGCCTACACCCAGTGATCACTACCTAATTATCTTGGACATGAGCCTACACCCAGTGAGCACTACCTATTAATCTTGGACATGAGCCTACACCCAGTGAGCACTACCTATTAAGCTTGGACAGGAGCCTACACCCAGTGAGCACTTCATATTAATCTTGGACGGGAGCCTACACCCAGTGAGCACTACCTATTAAGCTTGGACAGGAGCCTACACCCAGTGAGCACTTCATATTAATCTTGGACGGGAGCCTACACCCAGTGAGCACTACCTATTAAGCTTGGACAGGAGCCTACACCCAGTGAGCACTTCATATTAATCTTGGACGGGAGCCTACACCCAGTGAGCACTACCTATTAATCTTGGACAGGAGCCTACACCCAGTGAGCACTTCATATTAATCTTGGACGGGAGCCTACACCCAGTGAGCACTACCTATTAAGCTTGGACAGGAGCCTACACCCAGTGAGCACTTCATATTAATCTTGGACGGGAGCCTACACCCAGTGAGCACTACCTATTAAGCTTGGACAGGAGCCTACACCCAGTGAGCACTACCTAATTATCTTGGACAGGAGTCTACAGCCAGTGATCACTACCTAATTATCTTGGACATGAGCCTACACCCAGTGATCACTACCTAATAATCTTGGACATGAGTCTACAGCCAGTGAGCCCTACCTAATAATCTTGGACATGAGCCTACACCCAGGGAGCACTACCTAATTATCTTGGACAGGAGTCTACACACAGTGATCACTACCTAATTATCTTGGACAGGAGCCTACACCCAGTGACCACTACCGATTAATCTTGGACAGGAGTCTACAGCCAGTGATCACTACCTAATTATCTTGGACAGGAGTCAACACACAGTGATCACTACCTAATAATCTTGGACAGGAGCCTACGCCCAGTGAGCACTACCTAATAATCTTGGACAGGAGTCTACACCCAGTGATCAATACACAGCCATCTTAGACGGACAGTACAGAACACATTACCCATCAAAAGTTACATCCCAATAAAGCAATGTTTCAGCACTTGTTGTTATCTACCAGTTACATGTGGTCAGTCTACAAATCAATAGTGGCTGACATCTACACTCAACATGCTGGCCAGGCTTCATATATATTGAGGTATCATGTAACCATTTATAAATCTATAAACACCAGGTATTACCCCCTGCTCGGACAGTTAACACCAGGTACTAACCCCTACTCTGACAGAGTTTTTGTTAATATAAACATTTCTATTTATGCTGTCCATCTGGACTCAGTGGTAACTATTTATTTATACATTGAAGATGTCTTATAAATAATTGACATATCATGTAGGGTATAAAACAGCAAAAGCACAGCTTCTGGAACATACATATATGTAAATACATTTAACTCATTCACCTATGAAATTTCATAATGAACTATTCAAACCTTTGAATTGGAAGGGTTCAAATGTGTCTTCGGGGGTGAATGAGTTAAACTCCTCAATTAATTAGAACTGTAAGACAGTCTGACTACCATATGTATTGATAGACTGGATATAAACTTTCATTTTTATGAAGTACTTTATGAGAAGTGGCCAGGACAAACTCTTATCTACAGACAGACAAACACCATGATTCCACCATACCCCCGTGAAGAATAATTATCAAGGATATAAAATAGGTCTTTTGATCAAATAAAGCCAAGGTGAACATATTAACACCAGGAAATGTGAGGAGAACACATAGAATGTGATGAAAAGAAGGAGTGGGGGAATTATAACATGTTAATCCTCATAAAAGCCAGAACACTGGTCCAGGGGGTGGGAGTGGTGGTGGTGGTGGTGGGGGGTGGGGGGCTATAGTACTCATAAACTTACATTGATCTTTGGTGCGAGGCCCAGTCTGACATCATTGACCTGTGATATCTCCAACACCTGGCCTTCCTACAAACAGAACGGCACTGAATAATCGGAATGTGATTCATTAGTTTGGTATGAACAATATATAAAAGTTTGATTTGAACAGTAATTGAAAACAAACATTGAGAGCTTTTGAATACTTAGTCTTAGTTGCTTGACAAAGGAAACAAGCTTTTCGAAATACTGCAAAATAAGTTTTTAATCACTGTTCGTGTTCAAATCAAACTTAGCATTTATCAAAAATGATGTTAAGTGATTTCTCAACCTTAGTTTTCAATATTGAGATTTTCTGTGTAACTGGAGACTAAAACATAGCATGCATCTATTAGGCTAGCACCATTTTCAGTTACAAGGCAATCCTAAAGTTCATTGTTGAAATAATGTTTTATGTAATATGACTAAAAGGAAGACAAGTGTCATATTGTATTCATTGAAACCGGATTTCTCCAACATTTATGAAATAACAAATAGGTAAAATTTAATTCACTTTCACACTTAAAACGAATCTCAAAAAACCAGCCATACAAGGGACAGAATCTGTAACTTTTAACCATTCATTGTTAATAAATACTGATCAAGTGAATTAACACTGACTTGATATAGAACAATGTTCTCATCGCTACACTAAAAATTAAACTTGCAAAGGCAATATACTCTCAAGTGGAACTAAAACTGTCCACCATAGTGTGGTATGTGTATGTAACCTGGAACTATCTTCCGCTTACATACTGAGCACCTGTCAATTTCACCCTCCACATGTAATGACTATAACGTGTGCTGACTACTATTATTTCCCATCATGATAAATTCGCCATCATCACAGATGGCAGAAAAAGGAGGAAGTTTAACTGTTATAAACATTTTCAGATGATAAGTATCAAGACTACTGTCATTTAATACAGTATTATCTTCACATTTTATACAGAAAATACCCTGTACAAACAGCACAGTGCTGACTAGGTGGCTTCGAGACTGTGAGATCTGCTGTGTTCAGTCATGTTGAATTCATGGATTGACCATATTACAAAAGGAATAGTGTGAACATAACCCTGTTAACCATATTGAAGTAAATGTAAAATTTTCAAAATAACCCCCTTTTCCTGTGCATTGTAATTATATACAATATGAAAAGGTACAAACTACCAACCCGTCCTTCACTTTTCCAGTGAATGAAAAATCCATAATCATCAACTATCACATTGCAGCTAGCCTCCAATGTCGAGGATTCCTAAAGAAACACACAAAAAAATAACATGTAAAATTTCTATACAATTACTTATATAAAACCCACAACATATTTACCAAATAAATGATATCATACATAAAACCCAAGTTATTACCATTTACAACAGAGATAATCTAGACAAAACATTGGATGTATAAGTTAGGATAGCATAGGTCAACATTACTTTATATCCTTTACCATCAAATATTTCATTATCCTACATGATTTCTTAGAAATAAAAACAGCTTTAAAGTTTTTAAGTAGCCTTTTTCTTAAAGACTTCAAAAATGCCACAGAAGCACATTTTGATGTTCCAGCAAATAGATTTTCAAATTTGTCCATGGGATTGGATTTCATTTTAAGATATATTTCATGTATGAATATTTGTTACAAAAATCATGCATGAAGCTCAGTTTGATTTTTTTTAAAAAGGACTAAAATACACTCAGACTTTGTAGATGTTCCAGGAGGTGCTTTTTTGTCATCCAAAAGAAACCTGGAATGATGTTTGTGTGACCGCCAAAAAAATATGTTAAAGGATTTTGGCCAAGACATTTTTTTCTTTCTTTCAAATAAGCGAAACCTGTAATACACTTCAATTAATACCGAATCATCATTCAACAAGTGTTCAGAAGTGTCCAGTTACTTAAATATAGGCATTTGACCCCTGTGACCTTGACAATTGGTCAAGGTCATTCATTTTAACAAACTTGGTAGCCATTCATCCCAGCATGCTACAGGCCGAATATCAGTACCCTGGGCCTTTTGGTTATTGAGAAGAAGTCATTTGAAGATTTAAAGACATTTGACCCATGTGACCTTGAAAGTGAATCAAGGTCATTCATTTGAACAAACTTGGTAGCCCTTCATCCCAGCATGCTACAGACCTAATATCAGTACCCTGGGCCTTTTAGTTATTGAGAGGACGTCATTTGAAGATTTTAACCCATGTGACCTTGAAAGTGGGTTAAGGTCATTTATTTGAACAAAGTTGGTAGCCCTTGATCCCAGCATGCTACTGGCCAAATATCATCATCCTAAGCCTTTAGGTTACTGAAAAGAAGTTGTTTAAAGTAAAAAGTTGATGCCAACCAGACGGACGCCGGACAACGGACTGACAGTTTGATTCTTCGCATGAACTACATACTTAGTATAATTCTCTACAAATTTAAGCCGAAGAAAGGACAAAAACAAATCACTATTTTGTAAAAATTGAATTCTGAGGACGATTCTGATATGGCAGGGATGTAAACAGATATGCATATAGAACAGTGGCTACACAGAATAAAACCTCCATATATCACTTGATTTAAAACATGATAAATAGGTATGACGTAATTAGAGCCAGTTTAATATTATGTGACCTTTTTTAGAGTCATATATTTGCAATGTAATCTACTGTAATGTTCTGAAATCTGCTGACAAATCGCTTGTATTCCTCCTATTTAATACCCCCCATGTAACTTTACCCCATGTAACTTTACATATCACCACATCAATGTCTAAAAGTGAAAGTTTTACCAAACAACTTTTACGTTTGAGTTTGATGTAGTATTAGGGCACGTAGATATTGAACACATATATTTTCATTCAATTTGGTTTTGTCATAATAGTGAACTTATAATTAGATCACATGAAAAACACCGGGCAGTATAGTTTAATTGTATACCCACATGTGTACGTGAAGAGCCAATTTAAGTCTTAAGTCAATCAAACTGTCACGATCAAATGTAAATAACATGATAGTTTAAAATATTTGTTTCAATGAAACATTGCTGTAGATGTTGCCTGAAATCGGGATACCAAAATGAAGGTGGCCCTTCCCCACTTCATGACTTTTTTCCCCATTTCACTTAAAATCACTAACATGCAAGTCTATTTGTGTGAAATTAGCAAATATGTACTATTTTGTCCTCTCTAACGTGTATTGAAATATATGAAAAAATGTACTGTTCACTATTTGCCTACTCACCTGGCCTGTCTATCATCTGAGTACCGAGAGAGACAGGGTCTTGCACTTGGTGATCACTACACATATTATTGCATCACATGACCGTGAAATATGAAATATTATGATTCTATGCCTCTCAACTATTCAGAAGAAGTTGTGGTGTTTTTGACATATTTGACCCAAGTGACCTTGAAAGTAAGTCAAGGTCATTTTCATCTGCAACATTTGTCATGCTCCACCCCAAAAAGCTATAGCTACCAGCCAATTATTAAGATTCTATACGTTTTAGTTCTTCAGAAGAAGTTGTTTAAATTGTTTGACACAATTGACCCCCATGACCTTGAAAGTAGATCCAGGTTATTTTCATTTGCAAACTTTGTCAGGCTCCATTTCAGGAAGCTACCAGCTAAATATTATAATTCGATGCTTTTGGGATTATTCAGAAGAAGTCGTTGAAAGTGTTTGACACATTTGACCCCTGCGACCTTGAAAGTAGGTCAAGGTCATTTTCGTTTCAAACTTTGTCTGGCTCCTACCAATAAAGCTTTCTGACAAATATCATGACTTTAGGCCTGTCTGCCTCAAGAGCAGGTGAGCTAAAAAAAACACTATGCTCTCTCTTTGGAAATTTTCCATGAAGATTAAAGAAAATATTTTACTCTCGCCATGTTCAATAACACTGCAAACTTGTCCATATAAACAATTCTAATTTTGTAATACAAACTTTGACAATCTACACCATCAAACAATCTCATTGGAATTTCTGCAGCTGAAATATGAAACTATACCCTGTTGACATACTTGTACCATAGGTATCAAACGTAATAACTTATCAACCTTCTCTTGTGATCAGACATCTAAGGAGTTTAAATATATAAATGACCTTCAGCCTCAGAAAAGTAGACAGTAATAATTCACTGACCCTTCTGTTTGCGGCAAGGAGTCATCAACAATCGGGTCAGACCACTTGAACCTAATTGACATTTTATACACACAGACTTAATGTACGTGTTGTATGATATCCTAGGGTGGCTTTCAAAAGTAAACAATACTATTTATTTCATATAGGTTTACATTTTTCTTCTTGAAGTAGTTACTTAAAATTCCCAAGATTTAATCACAAGCTGGTACTTTGCTGGATATTTTGGAATATTCAACATTTACTCTGTTCAATTATGACAAAATATCATTGAAATGTATATTGGGAGATGGCATTGATAAGTAATAACTTGTGCCTAATCCTTTTGTCTACTTTTGGCAATAAATATGTCTAAACTATGACAGTGCATCATTTATTTCCAGTTAGTTTTTAGAAGAATATAGGTAATTTCAACACTTACTTGTCATAATTATGTCTGTGTGTTGCAATGGTTCATATTGGCAATAATGTTCTCTAATTCTTGAAAAAAAATCACTTTTGGATGTTTTTTAACATTGTGAAATAGAATGGTCTATTAAAATCCTCCCATTTGAAAATTGGCCTCAGTATTATTTAAAGAAGCACGAAACTCCTTGCTCCAGTATACCGATGTAGTTGATGTACATTATAACAGAGTTAAGGAAATTATACCCGTTCATTAACATGGACCTGATGAAAAAACTTGAGTTATACAATTAAAATGCATTAGAGTGCCAAAATCCAGAACTGTTGACTTTGAGCTATGGAGGTCATTGATCTGTACAGTATATATGGAGCCTGTCTTGGTATAGGGGTTGCTATATGATGGAGGGCGATTGGTTCATATTGTCAATAAATCCAGCTCGAAGGAACTTAAATGGATTAGTGGCAATATTACCCTGTCCCTGGGCTGGACTCATTGAGGGTTGTGTAGTGCCGTATGTTCAATCAATCATGCCACTGTCAGTTTAGGGACCATCACACGCCAATGACAGCCCATGTATCGCAGTGAATGTCAAATCATATTCTTACTACAAATATATAGCTAGCTCCATGTGGAACACCCAATGTGTCCTTGTGTATATGTTGCTGCCCAATGAAAAACAAACATTAGGAACAGTTCACCACACAAAGCAATGTTACAAAGCCATCGATAAATGGCTTCATTCCAGCAACATTGTACAATGTGGGGAGGTCAGTGTGGGGAGGTCAATATGGGGAGGTCGCTGTGGGAAGGTCAATGCTTGGTAGGTCACTGTTTGGGAGGTCAGTGTAGGGAGGTCAATGTGGGGTGGTCACTGTGGGGGAGGTCATAGTGGGAAGGTCAATATGGGGAGGTCACAGTGGAGAGGCTAATGTGGGGAGGTCACAGTGGAGAGGTTAATGTGGGGAGGTCATTGTGGGGAGATCACTGTGGGGAGGTCACTGTAGGACGGTCACAGTGGAGAGGCTAATGTGGGGAGGTCATTGTGGGAAGGTCACTGTGGGGTGGTCACTATTGGGGAGTTCACTGTGGGAGGTCATATGTAGGGAGGTTGATGTGGGGAAGTCACTTTTGGGAGGTCAATGTGGGGAGATCAATATGGGGAGGTCAATGCCGGAGTTTACTGTTGGGAGGTCACTGTGGGGTAGTATAGGTCACTATGGGGAGGTCACTGTGGGGTAGTATAGGTCACTATGGGGAGGTCACTGTGGGGAGGTCATTGTTTGGAGGTCACTGTGGAAGAGGTCACTGCCAAGAGGTCAATGTGAGGAGGTCACTGCGGGAGATGACATCCTGGTGTCGTGTTATTTTTGTAAACAATGTAATCATTTTATAGCAATATGAATCAACTTCAATAACTTCCATGGAAAGGTCCACTTATAATTGTTCTGACAGGGTTTGAAGTAATACAAGGTAATCCAAATATACCAAGGCAAGTTACACAGACCTCTTGATAATAAATTATTGAGCAAGGAGCTTATCCACTGTGCTTATGGTCATGATGTTTATTTTGTTTAAACTTTTTCTGTAACATTACTGAGAATAATTTAAATGTGTTCAACCTTAAGGTGGAGTGTCCACTTATTGCAGCCAATCAACACAGAGCTACGTTATGCCATATTAGGTTAAAATCCCTCGACCTTCACTGGAGGATAAGGGTTTTACATATTTACCCCTACCTCCCTTCGAGTCATGTTGCTCTAGTTGCGCCTTTTGTTAAGGGTAGCTCTGCATCACTGAGTTGACTGTTAACGATGTAGCATGTCGCTGAAATCATTTCGTACTACCTACAGAACGCAATAATTGTCTAAGTGAATTGATAAATAACTAAAATATTCGGCTCCACCTTGTATATTTTATCAGTCTGATGGGGAAAATTGATACTGATCAAACATCAGTTCATTTAACAAGGTCACAAACATTGTCTAGAAATGTGGTAGCTTGAAATTCATCAATAAATATTGATGAAGACAAATTACAATGTACTTGTTTTGTTTGTCTGTTTGAGTGGTTTTACATCGACTTTACTACCAAGTTGTTCGGTTATCCAGTAGCCAATTTTTACGTTTTTCCACATATATTATTTATATATCAACATGTGCCAGTGGAGGGGAACGGCTTAATTGAAAAGCAAGTGCAATTCATGGTTTCGTTATTAACTTAAGGAAGCCAACACTGATCATATAGCAGTAAACCATTTTAATGAAACCAAGCAAAATGCCACTCATTTACAAGACAACATATCATGACCAGAGATGAAGCATAATCACATGGTCTTTTTGTATTTCTGGTTCAGAGGAATGCTATCAATATTCTGTCCACTGGTTCAGAGGAATACTATCAATGGTCTGTCCACTGGTTCAGAGGATTACTATCACTGTTCTGTCCACTGGTTCAGATGAATACAATCAATGTTCTGTCCACTGGTTCAGAGGAATACTATCAATAGTCTGTCCACTGGTTCAGAGGAATACTATCAATGGTCTGTCCACTAGTTCAGAGGAATACTATCAATGTACATGTTTTGTCCTTTGGTTCAGAGGAATACTATCACTGTTCAGTCCAGTGGTTCAGGGGAATACTTTCAATGTTCAGTCCACTGGTTCAGAGGAATACTTTTAATGTTCAGTCCACTGGTTCAGAGGATTACTATCAATGGTCTGTCCACTGGTTCAGAGGGATACGATCAATGTTCTGTCCACTGGTTCAGAGGAATACTTTCAATGTTCAGTCCACTGGTTCAGAGGAATACTTTCAATGTTCTGTCCACTGGTTCAGAGGAATACTATCAATATTCTGTCCACTGGTTCAGAGGATTACTATCAATGGTCTGTCCACTGGTTCAGAGGAATACTATCAATGTTCTGTCCACTGGTTCAGAGGAATATTATCAATGTACATGTTTTGTCCTTTGGTTCAGAGAAATAATATCAATGTTCTGTCGACTGGTTCAGGGGAATACAATTACAGTTATTACCACTTTACAGTTGAAGAACATATAAATCTTACATATTTACCTATGCCAGTTTATTTACTGACAAATGAACATCAGAAGCTGTAATTTATAATCACTTACTTCACATTTAAACATGCTCCCATTTAGGATAAAGCAATATATATTACAGAGTCAGTGTCTTGCTTTGTCATAGCACACCACCAGTCAACACAAACAGTATAGTTGTCCTATCTCAAGTATCTCAAAGTGGTTTCAGCTGTCAAATGATTTCTTTTACAACAGGTTGTTTATGATAGATGTTGATTTGAAACAGATCATTCACCAGAGGAATTTTTATTTTATTCATTTGATGTTCGAGTCATATTTTTGGGGTTTATTAGAAGAACAGTGACATCTATCCAAACATTTTCTATTAAGACTCTAGCTATATATCATTAGCATCTCGTACAAAAACAACCAACATCAAGTGAAATGACAATAGTTAATTATTTCTCCAATGCCTGTTGTGTTATTGTTTTAAAGCTGACAGTGCAATTTAAAAAGCTTTCAATTGAGATTTTTTTTTTTAAATAAAAAAAAATCTGGTTTTGAGATCTTCCCCAGTGACAACCTCTTCTGGCTGTCGTATCTAAGGAAGCGCAGACATTTTAATTTTAAAATGTACTTGCTTGGTAACAAAATGGCTCTCACTAGGTATAAACAGTGCATTACCCGTCAAACCGGTGATCATTTGTTCAATGTGTGTGCAAAGTAACACTACTATACTATATAAATAGAACACTTTTGCAATTTTGATCCAACATCTTTTATCATAACAGTTAAATTAAACGGAAATGGAACACATCAAAGATACCATTTATCAAAGAAAAGTGGAAATAATAGTTAAATACGACAACTTAAAATATCTAATGCACAATCCATGCCACCCCGACTAAAAAACAGCCCTGATAGAAATAAACATAGGACTAACGCTGATGCCTACCTTTTAGATATCCAATTAGTAATAACATCCTGTGTGAAAACAATACCAATTCCAATTATTTCTATGAGATTGGTTCAAATATCAAATTTCACATTGTTGACTACAAACTTGCAAGTGACACACTTTGCACTCGTTTTGCTAGTCAAGCATATACACAACCAAGACTAAGAGTTCATAATTAAGTTTTCATGTGTGGGTGCGATTCTATGCACGTGAAAGTCTGATGATCTACAATGTTTATGGGATTTATTGAAGTATTTTCAGTGACATATCTTTTATTTTGGATACACAATTTCCGAGAATGTGCCATAAGTAACAACCAGCTTGGCAGTGTTTCAAAGTCTTCAGGTTGGTGAGTTTGATATCGGTTGCCAATCAGGGTGCGTGGTGTATTGAATTGTAGGACAGTCAGTGGTAGAATGATAACTGGTTTGACAGGTAATGCACTTTTTATACTCAGCGAGACCCATACTCGTTACTAAGCAAAGACAAATTAAAATGTCGCCACCTCCTTAGAAATGATAGCCGGAAGAGACAGTTACTGGAGAAGATATCTAAACCAGATTTTTTTTGATTTTTTTTTTAATCTCAATTGAAAGTTTTTAACTTGCACTGTCAGCTTTAAGGACTAGTTCAGAGGTTGTACATGTACTGTGGTTATCTGCCCCTTTTGTCTGAAGTCACAACTATCCAACAGCACACCTGGGTTCAAACTCGGTCAAACATGTGTCTAGATCTGATGGCCAACCACAGGTGCTTTTCATGCGAAACAGTTAATGAAAAGACTTTCAAGCTGAAAAATGTAATAAAACATAACAGAAATCAAAATTTATATGATACAAGTATTGGAAAATCAATATCATTCATGGTGTCAACAGTATTTAATTTGTTTTGACCCTTATGATGAATTACACTAGCAACTGACCTCATCCCAGCGGTCAAACACAGCTCCATCCAGCAGGGGTTGGGGTACTGGAATCCTCCACTGGAACTCTGTCACCTTGGCCATTACCAGCTCCCTCCAGTTACATCATCATCATCTATAAAACAACAAATATATAACCATCATTCTGTAACACAAAACCACAAATAATCACATCACCATCTGTAAGAAAGAACCACAAATATTCACATCACCATCTGAAAGATAGAGTTACAAATAATACCATTAATCGCTGGGATTTCCTTGTGTGCTTGTTTATTGGAAAGTTCCACCTCCAATGGTTATCAATTGGGGAAAATGATGGTGTATATGTATCAGTATGTATCAGTCTCCTTTATATATATAAATGTTAAGAAGGTGTGTTTTTTTTTAATATATTTAACAAACAAAAAACTTCTTAACATTTCAAGTCTAAATTAATAAAGCATCTCTGTATGGATTTTTATTCTTAAATTTCCTTATTATGTTAAGGAAATATGACATTATTTATGTAAAGAAGGACATCCTAACATAATATGTAACATAGGACTTTTGTCTACAAAACCTACTGATGTTTGAGTCAGGTGTCATGTTCAACATATAGCAGCATTGATCAGTAATACAAAAGATTTGTTGATCAGGTTTGAATCAAACTAGAAATACTTCTATATAAGATGTATCTGGTATGGCTTGTCAATAAACTAACAACTCCAACACACTTGAACATAGGAAAACAAATAATGGTTACCCTATATGTATAATGGTACGAGATCATCAGAGCCCTGCATAGAGACAGTAGAATAATGGTTCTCTATATATGGAGGAACAAAGTTTTGTACCGTCAAATGTCCGAGACATCTATTAAAAAGATGCAGTTCAATCCTTATATTTACATTCATTACAAAAGGGATTTTTTAAATCTTCTGAGTGCTTTCTTTTGGTTTGTAAAATATTTGAACCTGTTTTACCAAATAAATAGCAGAGCACTATCAATAAGGCACCAATTATCAATCAGAAAGTATTGGGGAATTTCCATCAGTGTGAATTTGATACTGATGATATGATTGCTTTCTGATTACTCTAACAGTAAGACGGAATTACCTGAACAATTTCAGACTGGAACACATTCACACGTATAAGTTCTTTGTGTTACATGTATTTGCTTGCACCACTACTGTACATTCTGAGTTTGTAGGTTTATTTTCTGTCTGTACACTAGAAATACATATATCATACTTGTCCAGAAGGGTATGGGGCGAGGGAGTCATGACATCAAACAATATTACAAGAGTAAATTGTCCAGGGAGACATCGCAATAACAAATGTACACAGTTAAAGCATCCCCCTGTAGGAAGTGACAATGTTATGGGTTACAGGTGTCCAGCAGCCACAAGAACATGGAACCATAGACCACATACAAAAATATGACGAAAGTATCCACAGGAACAGACATTAACAGAATATGCAAGGGCCAGCACCTATTATGGTGCAATGATCAGCAGGACAAGTAGAACCAGTTGTTGTTGATGTGGAGCTGGTGTAACTTGACCTTTACATGTACATATTTAAGCATTGAACTGTTTTTGTATGGTATTTATGATCTATTTGAATGACACAGCTTTGCAAGCAAACAAATCATAATGCGCACCATACTTATATTTACGTTTTCTCTGCCTCTTATGTTCTTTTTTAACTTATAATTTATATTTAAAATTAAAAATGCCCACCTTATCGACAGTCCACACAATTTCGTTCAAGAGTTTGAACAGCGTATTGTCGCGTGCTGATTGGCAAACAAAGTAGTACTTTGAAATTTTAACAAACACTTCAATTTTATTCCATAATTCAGTATCAATACAATTGCGTATGATATGTCTATAGGGTGATTTAAGTTTATCAATAGAACTCTGAGCTGAAAGTTAGATTTGAAATTGTTTCGATTTTTCCCCAGAACAAGTTTTGCGCATGGACAAATACAGTGAACACCGTAAATCCGACCTTGCCCTCCACGAGGGAGTTATTTTTGGAAGTTAATTCGAACTTTTCTCTTTGCTCATTTTGTAAAGAATCCAGGCATGAATTTATTTGTTGATTGTATGGGAACCTGACAACAGTCGGTAGATTCTATAACAGACTCATTATTTGACATGTCGTCAGAAACTGAGGAACCGTCCGTGGATGCGAGACGCGTGAAACTGATAGGCCTAGCGTTTGAAGTGAGTGATCTTCCGACGGAGCACAGGTTCGTTACAAATGTATTTGTGCTGTGACTCATATCAGTAGGTCTGTAACATATGTGTCAGTACGTACATGTAGGTCTATAGAATATGTGTATTTCAGACATTTGTAACGAACCCCTGTTGATCAGTGCAGTGTAACAGACGATATTTCTGATAAATTGCATGAGCGTTAATATCGGTTCCATTGCCGGCATTGGTGATTTCAACCGATGTGCATTTTGTACGATATTGCAGACCTTGGTCTTGTTTTTGTTGTAATAAAAGTGTTTTTTATTTTATTTTTTATTTTTACCAAATGTAAATATACCTGTATAGATTTTGATTTGTGGTGGTGGGCTATAGTGGCCATGGTAGCACATTGTCAGATATGCCTTCACCACTTGGCCACCACGGCTCAACCTGTATAGAGTGTTATCATTTGATGACAAGGTCATGACAGCATTGAGATAGATAAGTCTGTATCACTGTTTTACAAGTATCCTTCAGATTGGAAATGAGGATTAGTAAAGCACGGAAGGATGGGACAATCAGTCCTTCAGAGATTTAAAGACAAAACTCGCCATAACTACATCATCTTACCTCTAGATCTGTCAAATATTCATAAGTAGCCATCCAGTATTCTAGTCATGGATACCCGATTGGTAATGCATCATGCACATAAACAATAAACTTACCTGTCCACCTGTAATGATGTTTACAGGTACGCGATAATGTCTACAGGTTGAGCTCTAGATCTGGTTACCTGCACATTGTGTACGTCAACTATATACAGAGTGCTGTATGAAACTTATCTGTGATTCTAATAAATCAGCATGACCACTGATAAAAGTGCACTTACACCAAAATGTACCGCCCCTTACCACACTACAGCCACGAGCCTTCTGATTTACGATACAATATTTAATCCAAATTTCAAGTGCTTACCTTATCAATGCTGTCAATTTCCTACACAATTCTTAGCAGTATCCTGATTATATCAAATTGACACAAGGAGCATGTGCATGCAAATGACATGATCTGTCCTTCATAAATATTTCCTGTTTGACTCTCCTAAATATCACTATAGCTACCAACCATTTACAATGTACTCTACACGTCTGTTAGACAGAACCCCTACATTCACACACACATTCTTGTATATCATTCCAGCAGGTAGTATCATTTGGTAAATGCATTTGCTTCTTTTATTTGCACAAATATATATGTGCTGTAACTTAATTGGGTGGGTACTGTTAAATGGCCTTGATTTTAGTTTACGACTGTACTTGTTGTAGTAGTGACAGATGTTGTTACACTGTGTTACATGTAATCCTGAACTTTATGTATACCCAGTTTAAGTTCATGAAGGATTTAGTTTTGTGAAAATAATTCAAATTGTCCGTTCAGCTGAGTCAATCAGAACGTTCCAAATTAACTAAAATATCTTTGAAACATTAAAATTAATGAGATAAGTGCCTGGGGCTGCATATCAATAAATGATTTTCATTAGGAAGGAGGTGTGCTTGTGAAATGTTTGATATAGTTTTTATGGGTTTTTTCCTCTGGGGCATCCAACATACCAAGTTTGAGCCTGGTGTAATATTTTTTTCTGAAGTTAGGATAGGAGAATGTTTTTTAAGTAAGAGTGACCTTGTCCTTTCATCTTCTATTCTCACTATCAACAGAGTATTTCATCTTCCCTAGGTCCACCCACATACACAGTCAGAGCTCTGCGTGATTGTTTGTTCTGAAGATGGGATCTAGACAAGAACATTCTATTTTCAATAACAGGTAACGGTAATCTTGCCCTTTGACGAACCATGTTCAAACATAAAGTGATTCTTCCTTTAGATTTTATATAGGACAACACACATACTGTACATGTACCAAAGCTGAGCTCTGTGCGATCCAATGGTCTGAAGTTAGGATCCATACAAGACAAGAGGCCCAATGGCTTTAGCGGTCACCTGAGTTATATTATAAGTACTGGTAGCTCAATTTCATTGTTAAGATCATGTTGTAATGTGTAAAAAAAGTGAAACACAATAGTTGTCATATGTCACTCAAATAAATTATTTTGCTATTGAGAAATATAATATCTATTGTTATTTAGCCAATTTTCTTCTTTTGCCAACCCCTGGAATAGGCCAAGATATTACTTACTAATACAATTTGATTTCAATTTCATTATAACTATTCCAACCAAGTTTGAATTATTTCTTGCTAAAAATGAACAAGATAAAGTCAGAAGTGCTATTTCCCTATACATGTATAAACTTCAGTAAATTTTACTTTCTCCCCTAGGGAGAGCAGATGACCAGGGAGATAATGAAATTTACAATTTAGATAATGCACCTAAGGACTGTTCTATCAATGAAGAGTGTTTGTTTGTACTTTTAACCATTTTCCACCCCCCAGCCCCTGGCAATGGGGCAGGATCTTATTTTCTCATACCATCTAATTGCCATCTGGCATCATAATCATTCCAGCCAAGTTTGAACAATTTCCTGCTGAAAATGGATAAAATATACCCAAATGTGTTGTTTCCCTATACATGTATAAACTAAATGTCAACTTTACCCCATCCCCAAGCGAGAATGGATGGTCTCGGGGTAATGAAATTAATAAAAAGAGATAAAGCCCCTGATGGAATTTTCATCCATGCACAGAATTTGATTGTAGGCTAAGCCTCCAAGTCTGAAGAAGAAGACTTTTGAAATATTGGTTAATTTATTTTCCCTTTGGGGTCCCGCCTTGCCCTTGGGAATGGGACAGGAATTCCCCCTCCCCTCCCCAAGGGAGAACGGATGGCCGTGGGTACTGAAATTTACAATTTGAATAAAGCCCATGATGATCTTTCCACCTCTGAGTCTGGAGAAGAAGATTTTTGAAATACTGG